AAACTACATAAAAGTATTAGATTATAATTAACTAGATTCTTATTCATCTTTAAAAGAATCTATTATTTCCAAGGATAGTCTTTAATCAGTTAACTACAGTATACTTTTTCAAGTGTTACATTCCTTTTTTAAAAGAGTTATTTATTTAGACATATAGAACAGGGTTATAGACCAGAGGTACAGGGGCTGTGAGAAGATTCACCAGAGACAGAGTAGGGAGAGAACAGGCAGATTGACAAAATACATTGCTGAGGGGAGCAGCGGTCAGGTCAGGAGAGGTCCACCACGCCATGTGGTTGGTTGGTCACCTCCCCAGCCAGGGACTGAACTAATGCGGTAGCAGTTATGGCCAGTTTTATAGTGCTGTGCTTTTTTAACCCATTGTGCCACCACGAAGGAACCTCAAGTGTTACATTCAAATAAATAACTTCAGTACCAGTGAAGTAACCCCAGATTTTTGCATATAATAGTTTTGGAGCATTGCTATTTAGCTTTTATGTAACATCTCATCCTTGTCCCCAACAGCTATATCACCCAAAACTAGTAGTAAAAAGTAATTATTTCTGGAATTTTGCAATTACCAGGTATAGCACATTATTAACAAGTTTTGATGTGGAATGGACCATGTGAAATGGAAGAAAAAGAAGTGGGCCTCTGGTGTTATTGTTTGTCACTGCAGTGTTCTGCACCAGCAGACTGGTGACTCATTAGATCAGATGGCTGCTAATGCCAAATTTCTGGATTTTTTCCCCTTCTACAGCAAGGGTTTCTTCTTCTTCTTCTTAATTTTTCACAAATATGGAGGAAAAAAGACCTACAATTTGTAACTTTAGGAATCTGAGTTAATTTTTTTGTTTTGATTCTTAAAGTAGGATTCAATCATAGGCAATTTTCTTTTATAATCTTTGAGTTGATTTTTTTATAAGAATTTTCATGAGAGTAGTTTTTAAAGTAGGTATTATGTTTTTATATTTTAAAAGATTGAGACTAATATGAAGAGCTCTACATTGTATTAAGAATGAGTTATTAAATATAAAATAAGAATATAAAACTTGATGTAGCAAAAATATGATTGTTTGGACATTAGGGATACTTAAGGTGAACTTTTACTTATTATCTATTTGCAGTATAATTTGGTTATTGAAAGTTTTAATATTTTGGGTGATTGTTTTCCTGAAATCTTTATATGTCTGCTCACCTAGAGAAATAAGCATGTAGTAGGGAAGCTGAAGATTTTAGTTGAGTCATTTCATGGATAACAATGGAGAATTATCAGTGGATATAAATTAGTATGTTGCAAAACCAAGCATAGCAAAATGCTGCTGTATACTTAGTCCTATTCAGTGGGTAATGCATATACCTAATGAATCATTTTGGTTTTATTTGGGGGGGGAAGCACGTTGATATTTTTCTTGTAAAACAGATATATGATGAAGTAGAGTACAAAATTTATTTTGGTTTAAGATTTACAAGAAACAAGGAAATTTCCTTGCTATAATAGCTTGTCGAGATTCTGGAATAGCAGTTGAAGGGGGGTTGTTTATTCAGTATTTACTTGTTTCTCACCATTTGGGGTCCTCTGGTGAAAAATCTTGACAAGTATAACAATTCCTATATTAGTGTAATTGCAAATTTTAATGTGTCAGAGAGCTTGTTAACCTTGGAAATTTCTCAAGGTGCATACCTGTTAATAGGTTGGAGAGTCTGAAATGTTGGACCTGAGGAAGGCATTTTTAATCCTATCAGAAAGTAGTACTTTAGAGGTTAAGTAAAAACTAGTGAGCTGGGACTTTTATTTCTGTAACTGCTATTACTGTGCCTATGTTGAAGGACAAGAAACAAGTTCCTTCGTAGAAACTGAGACTTTGATTGTGCCTCACCTCCCCTGTCCGTTCTTTAACTGCCCTTGAAGCATTGCCCTTAAAGTCTTGCTTTCCTAATCCACTTTTGTATTCCTATCCCCATGTCACAAAATAACCTAAGAAAACAGGCTAACAATTCTATGGATTCAAGTGTGATTCTTAAGTGTCAGTTTTGTATTTTTTTGTCAGGTTGTATTTATTCAGCTTGTTCATTATTTTAGTATTTTGGATTTCTGGCAACAGATGTCAGGGAATCTGGTATATAGGTGTTTGTTAGGGATCAGCACGTGAGAGGATGGGGGCGAAGCTGAATTGAGCAGATGAAGATAAAATGCAGTGCATACCTGACAGAATCTCATGGAAGCCAGCCGGGAGATCTGCAGTGAGGCCAGCTTATGGAAGTATCCCACAGCTCTGTGCTGGCTGGGCCTTATGTATCTGTGCTGCGGGTCACCACGTGCAGTTTGACCCGAGAGGAGTGTTAATGCGGGCAAGGTAACTCGCTGATCTGAGACTGATCCTGAAGGACTAACAGCTGTTGGCGATCAGCTAGCTTATCCCACTCCCCTGTCCTTCCTTTAAGGTGCATAATTCTCCTATCTAGTGTGATAAAACTGCTGTATTAAGGCAGAGACTACTGTCCTCGGTACTTTTATGATTGTTAATGTAGGGGACAGAGTGCAGTGCTAAAAGAGGATAGGCCTAAATTCAAATTTCACTCTTCTGCTTATTGGTCTTGTGATCTTGGTCAAAGTTTCATAAATCTCCATTTTACATTTTCCTCTCTTGTAAAGTCGAAGTGATATTAAGGATATGGAATTACTCAGCAAGTATTCCCTGAGTGCTTATTTTCTTTGCCCTTAGGGAATGTGCATTCTAGGATTGATACAGATAGTAGACAAGAAAATTAACACTATTTTAAATAGTTTTAATGCTGTGAGGAAGAACATGGTGAAAGAATGGAGAATGACCATGGTAAGAAAAGGATTATTTAACAGGAATGAGGAAAAAACATTCTGGGCAGGAACACAGTGAGTGTAAAGGTTCAACTTGCTGGAGCCAAGATTAGAATTTTTCTAAAGTAAGATATCAGAAGTGCTTGGAATTTGATCTTTCATGTGAAAATCATTTTCTTATTTCACTCAGATAGATGTGGTTAAGAGCTGTTTTGCAACCACTTCTATGCAGTTAAAACAATGAAGTAGAAAAGGCTAAATTACTCATAATCATCATCATATTTTTCTCCTCTTCACACTGGATTTTTGAAAAGTAGAGTTGTCTTGATTTGCTATGTAAGATTTTTAATCAGAGGAATGCAAATTTGTGGATATGGTGTAAAGCATCTCTAAGTTAATTTGCAGTATTATAAGTTAGATTCTTGATTTTATTATTAGTTTGATATTACTAGTTCTAAGACCTGGCTATCTTTGGCATAAATTAAACAATATATACCTTTAAAAAAAAAAGGTTAAAAATGATACAATCATTAGTTCCCACAATGGTTAAGATTACTCAGCTGAACGATAAACCCACAAGGCATTTGATTTTCACTAGTCATTGTTCCTATATTTAGAGGCTCTTGTTGTTTTAAAGAGAAGGTATGTAAATAATTATTTTTAAAATTTAGAAGAGATCCTGTCACTGGCTCATGAATTCTCTAAACACCTTTATGTATCCCGGGAGATTCAGACTGTGGAGATCTGCTCTATACTTCAGTGCCTCCTAGTTTACCTTTTGAGCCGCATTTTAGCCCCCTCTCAGTCTACCCTACCTTACCCAAGCCTAGATTAGATGCCTTTGCTTCATGCTCTTCAAAGTCGGCTGCTACTGGCCCCTGAAAGCTCCTGTGTCATATTACTGTAATGACTTGTTTTTCTTTTTACCCCACCAGGTCAGAAACTACCTGGGGAAAAGATTGTGTCTTACTCCATTACATTTTCTACCTATGTTACAGCACCTGTCAAATAACCAATGCTTAAAAACCAAAAATCCAGTTTTAGGAAAAAACTTTAAGTAAATTGTACGTAATAGCTCGGGAAAAAAGAGAAAAGCAAACTAGTCAAGTGACTAACTAGATTAGATTCAAATAACAGGAAATAATACATTAGACACTTTTTAAAACTTAGGCAATCTTAGGTTGCATTAGCTGAATACAGCTTAGTAGTTAATCAGTGTTGCTTTTCTATTAGGCTTATTGTTAGTTGCTTCACTACTACCCGGCTGCACTTTATGATGAAACCAAGACTCAAAAGGATGAAAGAATTTGATTTGTCCAAGAGCACAGTTTGGAAGTTCAAACTCTGTCTAACTCAAAGCCTTGGTTTCTGTCTCAGTACCAAGAAGCATCCAGAATGTTGAAGTGGTGCTCTTGGAACATCTAGAATACTGTATTTTTGTTTGCTTTGTTTTAAAAGAAACATGGATATGAAATACCTCCAGAAACGAATAGCCTTGGGAGTAAAAAATCTGAAAAAGATTATCTTTTGAGGGATAGTAGTGGCACTGCAGAGAATTTGCTTGTGGCCACAATAACTAGAAGAAATAGGACCAGAGGGTAGAAGTTGTGAGGAAGTAGATTTAGGTTGCATACAAGTGGGAAGTTCTAAAAAAAGGATGATTTTTTTCCTAATTGAAGCTCTGTTTAAGTAGTAGTATTACTGATGACAGTTTTATAAGCATTTTACATTTAACAAGTAATATTTAAACAAATTCATAATTTAATCACAACTCTAGAGTAGGTGGCAGCATTATTCCTGTATTTCAAGTGAAATTCAGCAATTTTGATTTGTTCAAGAAATCCTACAGCTTGTCCCTGGTATGACTTGGATGAGTCCCAAGTCTGCTGACTCAGGATCTCATGCTGTTTTCCCTTTGAGAGGCAGGTGACCATCTATCACCAATGCTAGGAGCAAGTGTGGGTATTTGAGGAGGAAGTTATGATTACCAACTTCTCTTCTAACTGAAAATCTTTGATTTTCTGAAGAATAAAATTTGACCTCATTTACTTGTTCACTACTTTTTTTCAAGACTTTGTCTTACCCGCAACCAACATAAGTGTTTGTAAGTTTTGTTTTTCCCTACATTACCTAAATAATATCTAGAAAACTTATTTGGATTTTTATTTTTTATTTTTTGCAGTTCCATACCTGCTTACTCATCCACCACTTCTAGTGCATCTTTTGGAAGCCAAAAATCTTGGTAAACCAATTTTCTTTCTACCAATTTAATTTCCCTATGGGAGACATCAAAATACTTAACTTCTTTTTGTGACATTTGTGACTGTAGTATTGGCTGATTTTATTTCTAATTCAATTAGATATTTTTGTGGTTACGTATGCCATATCTTCATCTTCTTTATTAATAAACTACCAATTTGATATCTTTACCTTATCACCAATATCATCTCTAAGTTTGAGTATTTTTCTTGCTATTCACTTGTAAGGGCTATTATATCTCCACATGGCTTTAATCTTTTTCTTCATTCTTGCCTGTTTATTTGATTACTTAATTCTTCCCTATTAGCTTGTTCCACCATCACCCTTGTAATGGTACTAAGACCATGTAAATATTGTGATTTATAAGAAAAATGTGTATTTAATCACTCAGATGACCAATATATATATATATATATATATATATATATATATATATAT